CCCACCCCGCAACGCCTAACGCGCGCGGGGGGAGTTGTCCAAGGGCTTGCGCCCCACCTACACAGACGAATTTGGGGAGTGTACTACGATGACCGGGGGCGCATTATAAAACGTGCAAAGTGGCAAGTCTTTGGGGGAGGGGGGAGCCGCGACCGCCCCGCTCCCTCACGTAAACTATATTAGTAAGAGTCGGGAGTTTGAACAGTGGGAGTAAATATATAGAAAAAAAATGAACAGAAAGGAAAAGGAAAAGGAAAAGAAAAAAAAGCATGGGGAAAGACTGCCGTCACTGCCTTATACACCGGTCTCGTTGGGAACGACAAAGCAGGTTGTGGACAAAACAGCGGGACGGGAAACGGGGAAACCAATGCATTTAGTTACCCTTCCCAATTTACATGTTCCTTACACATGCTTCATTCCCTAGAAACGACACAACAACAACTACAACAAAAACTCATACAGTCTGAGAGAAAGAGAGAATGAAAGTAAGATGGGGTTAGATCTTGCTGACCTCGTACGCGTGACGCATCTCTTCGGAGAGCTTAGAGATAAATTCGTGGGTGTTCAAGTAGTCACTGCGAGTGACGTGGCGCATGCCCTTAATGCAAATCGCAAGATCCTTCGTCATGTATCCCGCCTCAATGGTCGACACAACAACCTTCTCTAGGAGCATGGCGAAATTGACAAGCTTTCCGTTGTGGTCCAGTTGGCCACGGTGCATGAGCCCTCGCGTCCAGGCAAAGATAGACGCCACCGGGTTTGTGCTCGTCTCCTCTCTCTGCTGATGCTGCCGGTAGTGACGAGTCACGGTGCCGTGGGCAGCCTCCGACTCAACGACGCGGCCATCCGGAGTCATGAGAACGGAGGTCATGAGGCCAAGCGATCCAAACCCTTGGGCAACGGTGTCCGACTGGACGTCGCCATCGTAGTTCTTGCAGGCCCACACATACCCACCCTCGCTCTTCATGACGTATGCAACCATGTCGTCAATGAGGCGATGCTCGTACCAAATACCGGCCTCCTTGTACTTCTCCGCGTATGTCGTTGCGTACAATTCCGCAAAAATGTCCTTGAAGCGGCCGTCGTAACGTTTTAAAATTGTGTTCTTCGTGGACAAGTACAGCGGCCACCGCTTGGAGAGGGCGTACTCGAAGCAGCTCTTTGCAAAATCCTTAATGCTTTCATCGGTGTTGTACATTCCCATCATGACACCACCGGATTTGAAGTCATACACCTTGTGCACCTGTGGCTCACCACCGTCGGCAGGAACAAAGCGCAGTTCAAAGGTTCCCGCCCCGTCAACAACCACGTCAGTCGCCCTGTACTGGTCACCGAAGGCGTGACGCCCAATAACAATGGGGTACTTCCAGGTTGTCACCAGGCGCGGAATGTTTTTACACATAATGGGTTCACGAAAAACGGTGCCGCCCAGAATGTTTCGAATTGTGCCATTTGGGCTTTTCCACATCTGCTTAAGATTAAACTCCTTTACGCGAGCCTCGTCCGGGGTGATTGTGGCGCACTTCACGCCAACGCCGTGCTTCTGAATGGCGTGTGCGGCGTCAACGGTGACTTGGTCATTTGTTTTGTCTCGGTTTTCAATCGAAAGATCGTAGTATTCAATGGGAAGCTCGAGAAATGGAAAAATGAGTTCCTCCTTGATCATCGTCCAAATCACCCGCGTCATCTCGTCCCCGTCAAGCTCCACGACGGTGCCAGTGACCTTGATCTTCTGCGACATCGTTGACTTGTGCTTTGGTTTGGTTTGGTTTGGTTGGTTGTTTTTTTCTTATGCGGTTCTCAACAAACACGGTTCGCCTTGTTAGTTTAGTATTAATGTTATCAGCCTTGCCGCGTTTGCTCTCCGTTCGCTTCGCTTGCCTTCTTGTCTGTTCCCCCGCTTTCTTCTCCGTTCTTCTTCTTTCCACGCTGCACTTGTGGGTGTTTTGAGGGCTACCGCCGCAGATGGACAAATGAGAAGTTACGCCGTTTACGTTTCCCTCGTTCCTTCGTCGTTGACGGTTTCACCCCGTGCCGTCGGCGGTTGAGCGTCATGCGGGCAGAAGCATAAAACGACAAACAACAAAAAAAAGAAAGAAGGGAAAAGGAAACAAACAAAAAGAAATAAAAATATACATATTTTTTTTTTGGGGGGGAGGGAAAAAAAGAGGTGAAAGTCGTGCTGCAGAGCGGGTGGGAATGAGGGCAAACGCCGCACGCGTGTGTGTGGGCGGCGGCTCGCAATTCAGACGTACAGAGTTTCATTCTACGGAAAATAAAAACAAAAACATAAACAAAAGCCACATATACAGACACACACTGAGAGATACTTGGGAAGAGTGAAACGCACGGCGAGCCCTGCAAAGGGGGCAACGGAAAAAGAGCAAGAAGAAAAACAAAAACACCGCACATACGTGCATACGCATATATACAAGGTGTGCATGTGTGTTATGCTTTTGGAAGCTCTCGCAGCCGCTGCATCAACTCAGCCGCCAACGCCGCGTTCTGAAGCCCGTGTAGAGCAAATTGGCAATACCTTGCCAGTGTCAACCGATCCAACGGATCCAATTGGACGGACACTTCGTACAGTTGGCGTGTAGTTTCCAACAAGTTCTGCAAACGTGAATTGGCTTTTACAGTAACTTGCCTCTTCTCCTTCATCCACTCGTCATGAAAGGCGGCGCACAAGAGGCGATTCACCACCGCGTTATGCGGGCTTAGCCTGCGCGCCTGCTCTAGAACACGTACAGCGTCGTCAAATCTATCTCCCACACTTACGTAGAAGGAACCCAGCGAGGTCAGCAAAAGGATACTCTGGGGTTGGTGGCTCAAGCCCTGCTGATACAGCGTCTCCACCTTCACTGCGAGCTGCTCCTTGACGTCAGCCGCGCTCCCCGCGTCGAGTGCAGGAACACACACATTCCACAAAAACGAACCGTAAAGGGCAGTGGCGCGGGAATCTGCGGCGTTTCGCTTCAACGCCTCTTCAAAAAGAACCACAGGAACGCTTGGCGAGGGCATAAATGTTGCAAGGTATTTGCCATAAAGAGCAACCGCCTGCCCTCGGAGATGGCTGCTAGAGTCACGCGTAATACGCTCTACCTGGTACCGGGCAAGACATTCGCCGGCCACCAATTGCCCTTGCTGCGCTTCCTGCGTCTGCCGCTGTTCCCCTCCATGCAAACACGCAAGATAGTCCGCGTAACAATCTGTGCTGCGCGAGTCCTTGTGCGAGTAACGAAACGCGGCGGCGTAATACTTGCGGGCAAGCGGTATCGCAGCATAGTCTGCACAGAACTTGGCGTAATTCACAAGCATAGTTGTGCTCTGAGAAAAAGCGAGCCAAGGCTGTCTTGTAGCAGGTGTTAATAAATCTTCCATCGTGAGGCAATTTGGTCTGGGACACGTAGCAGGCAAGGCTCACTGTGTCTTGGTCAGGTGAGAAGGATATACCCGCAAGCAGATCTCGCTTAAATTCCGCACTCACAGAACCGTGTAATTGTGTCGCCTGGCGGGGCGTGAGAAATAAAGCAAAATTTTTCGGCTCTTGACCCAGCGCGATCAGCAGGTGTTGGAGGCACTCTTCGCGCACGGCTGGCGCCAGATCATCCCAGCAGACCACGCCAAGCCAGGCCAGCTTGCCGTACAGCCGCGGAATAACCGCAGGGTCAGTGACGGCGTCAATCATACGCTGAATGCATGCCCGGCCGCCGGCGTAGTTGGCCGTCAAGACAAAGAAGGCGGCGGCGGCGGCCGAGACGTTCTCCTCCGTCGGACATGTTGCCACAGCTCGATTGTAGAGCCCCTGGGCCTCCTCAATGTTTTTGTGGGCAATTACTGTGGCGTAGTTGGCCAACATAACGGCAAGTTCACGGGCGTACTCGTCACTCTTGACGTCGGCAAGCAGGGTGTACTCCACGGCAAGACGGTAGAGCTCCTCCGCCCCTGCCTCGTCGCCGCGTCGTTGGCAAAAAAAGCCGCCGCGGCTAAGTGTCATGAGGGCCTTCAACTCATCCTCACCGCTGCCACAGGACTTCGCCCGGTCCACCGCGTGACTCGCCATAATAACTCTTGCGGACCTTTTAAAGGACGCAATGACGACGCCGTTGCTGTTTGGGGGGGCTGCGCAGGTGACAGGGCGTACTGCCTCGTCCTTCTCCGCTGCTGCCGCTGCTGCCGACACGTTGGACAGGGCCGCCTCCAGCTCCTCGTCCTTGGAGCCGTAGCAAATGCTGGCAAATCCATATGCGGCCTGCAGCAGGACGTCGGGCTCAATCCCCTCCTCCGGTAGGGTGAGAAGCTGAATGTACAGCTGTACAGCCTTGGCCGCGTTGGCCGCCCCATGCAGCCGCGCCAGAAGCAGCAACGCCGAGGCACAAGAGCCTCCCAGGGCTCTTTCGACACCCACCCGACGCTCTAACACCTCCTCGGCAATGTCCCTACGACCCACACGCTCACAGCAGCTGGCGTAGTTTTCCAGCATCCAGCAAAGCGTCTCCGAGTCCACCTCCTCTGACGAGGCTGGATTCGTTTCCGCAACCGCCCTAAAAGGTGAGCCCACGTGCACCCCACAACGTCGGATTGCCCGGCAAAAGTGGATGCAGGCGCGTCGATGCTCCCCCACATGCATCTGAAAGCAATACGCAAGACGCCCCTCAACCTCCGCCACTGTGAGCGGGACCATCATACCCATACATGCCACTTGCAGGTTTTCCTCGTCGCGCTGCTGGGATGGGATGGAGTCCATGGTCTCAAGGTACACGCGGATAGCCTTGTCGATGAGTGAGGCATGGGCGAGGGCATCCGCGTACTTCATACGCGCCCAGGCAGAGTGTTTCTGCATCCCACAGTCATCCATCAAGGCGATACTCTCTTCGAATAATCCCAAGGCCTTTCCGAATTCCTCATTCTCGGCAAGACACACTGCTGCGTCAAGCAAGGTGAAGGCGGCACGGCGAACGGGAAGCATCGCCTCTTTGGGGAATTCCCTCCGAGCCTTTGCCGAGGGTTGCTGCTTCATCTCCTCTAGCCTCTCCAGCGCGGTGTCAAAGGACATCTCTGCCGCTGCTTGAAGATAGGGCAACCCCTGTGCGACATCAAACACCTCAAAGCACAGCAAGAGACCTATATCGTGCATCACCCGCATCTCCATTTCGGCGTCGGGTGTGTCAAGCAGCGCGTGTAAGGAGGCCGTGTACAGCCGCAGGCTCGCGTCTTTTTCCCCGATCTGACGCTGAAGACGGGCCAACGTGCACGTGATGCGCACCTTCTCCGCCTTCTCCAAAGAGGAATCTGCCGCGCGCTTCCCCTGGCTCAGTGCGCTCTGCACCAACTCCTCGTTCGCCAGGAAACGATCGAAGTCTTCTAAAACGTAACTGCGACTCAGCGGGAGGCGGGACTCTTTTCCCGACACGAACTGAGTTAACGATGACTCCACTGGATAATCCCGCATCACCCCAAGCGCCCGCTCGTACTCGCACAGCGCCTCAAAACATTTTCCCTCACACGCCAGTGCGTTTGCAAGCATGACCCGCAGGTGCAACACAGATGTCTCCCCCTCAAAGGATGCAATAATTGAAATCGCCTGTCGAATAAGTTCAACGGCTTGAGTTGATTTTTGATCAACAAGGCACTGAATCCCATAGTTGGCTAATGCCCGGCTGTGGAGAAGCCAATGGCGACGTGGAAATGACTTATAGAGTTCTGCAGTAGATGCAATAAGCTTTTCAAATTGCGCGGCCGCGGGAGCATCAATGCAGGCGTTCAATAGTTTGCCTAGTCCACGCTCTTCCTGCTGCAGCCCGTCCTCCGCATCACAAGAACGGATTCCCGCAGGACCGGGCTGCGCTGCTCCAATTGGTTCCACGCAGACTTCTGCCAAGTCGTGGGGCAGTCCCCTCCCCGCCGTCGGGAGAAAAGAGTCGGCGACGGACGAGAAGTGGTGCAGCTGCGTGGACAACAACTCCACGCTGTTTGCGTGCGATGCTGCGCTCGAAAGGTCTGAAGAGGGGTGGTAAATCCAACGACAGGGAACCCTAAGGAAAAGACCCGCGCAAAACATGCGCACAGCCGCGTTCTTGTTCTGCATCCAGAAACCTCCCTCCTTCCTTGTGGCGTGGTGCAAGATCCGCTCCGTGTGTGTGTGTTTGCCCGCGCGCTTGTGTCTGATGGGTTGGTGGCTTCCGCCCACCCACCGCCTTCCCCCCGCCCGCTTAAGAGGCCTTGTTTCTGTTCCCTCTACCCCTGCCCCCTCCGGCTTTTTTTTCCTTTCTTTCCTTCTGTGTGTGGGTGCCCGTGGCGGTTTAGAAACCGACGTTACTTCCAGGCAAACTACATAACACATAATAAATAAATAAATAAAACGACAATGAAGAGTAGGGCGGATTCCACCACGAAGCATGCAGCACAGGCCACACGTGGTGGCTGCGTGCGTTCCACAAAATCGCCCTCCGCGCCGGTCTTCAAGGCGATTCTCCCAAGCCGCAGAATTAAATAATAAAAATATGTGGAATTTCAGCTTTTTTTTCATTTCCTTTTTTTTTAAAAAAAACCGCTTTCATTTATCCCTTTCCCACACTTTGTGAGGATACGCCTCATTCCTGTCTTGTTATCCTGCCTTATTGGTCCTTGGCTGGATGGCTCTGGTAAACCGGGCCTCCAATCCTCCATTGTCATTCGCTTGTCTCCTCCTTTCCTTTTTTTTCTTTTCCTCCTGGCTGATCCGTTAACCTCTCTTTGAGCACCACCCTTCCGTCCATCCCTTTTCTTGGTTAGTTGCCCGTTCAGGGGCGTGCGCCGACGGACGCCCTAGAGCTGGCCAGAGGCCTCAATCTTCACCGGCTTGCTCGTTTTGCCCGTCTGGGAGCCAACCGCCTCCATCGCCTTAACGACGTCCATCCCCTCCAGCACCTGGCCAAAGACAACGTGCTTGCCGTCAAGCCACTGCGTGGGAGCAGTGCAAATGAAGAACTGAGAGCCGTTGGTGTTGGGGCCCGCATTTGCCATGGAAAGCGTACCGGGGCCAAAGTGCTTGCCAGCCTTGCCAGCGAAGCTCTCGTCGGGAAACTTCTCACCGTAGATGGATTTGCCTCCAGTGCCGTTGTGGTTGGTGAAGTCACCGCCCTGGCACATGAACTGGGGGATAATGCGATGGAAGCCGCTACCTGCGTAGCCGAAACTCTTCTCACCCGTGCAGAGGGCTCGGAAGTTCTCAGCCGTCTTGGGAACGGCGTCGGCGAAGAGCTCAAAGACAATGCGCCCAGCGGGTTGGCCACCAATGCTGATGTCGAAGTAGACCTTCGGGTTGGTCGGCACGGTGGGGTGTTGCGGCTTGTACGACATAGGCGCTGTTAATAAATCACTTTTTTCTTTGGAGAAAGAATCACACGTTCGCTGAGGCTACGCAGAGAACAAAACAAGAAGAGCATCCACTCACAG